TAAATTGAATCGAAGAAATATTGTTGTACGTAAATTTTATCGATAGGCGCGCCCAACATACATACGTACATGCAAATTTTGACTAATAAAAACTAAAAACATCTTTCACGTCAATTCTACGGTTCGTATGTTAATTTTGATTCTTTTTTGATTCTAAAGATTTTGTTCCTTAGAATCATGTATCGAATACATTGAAAAGTGGATTGAACGATTTGACCATATTATGATATTCGCCTGGTGTGCACTAGATCAACCACCGAAATGGGAGTTTATCGAAAGTACCGCGAAGAGCATTGCAAAGAATAATCATTTTAACATAGAATCAACTGACACTGATTTATTCGATCAGTTCACATATTTGGAAAAATACGTTACTCCAGAGAAGATCCAATCGTGGGAAGAAAATAACACTGACACCAATGAACGCTGGGTTGAATGCTTTGGACATTTTGACCAAAAGAAGGTCCCATACAATCACATGGTGAGAATCGTATCGTATGTTCTCTGCTTACCAGCAGTGTTGCTAGAACTTTTTGGACGAACCGGCTAAATTGGCAAATAAAACCGGCTAAAAACGGCTAAAATGTTTCAACTAAATTTCACACGTTTTATTTAAATAAATCGCGAGTACAAAGACTATTTCTTGGAGAGAAGATACAAATTTGAGCCGGAAAAGATTTTGCCAGCAAGAATTTGCAATTAGGAAAAACATATGATTGTGGCACATGTTTGGATTTTTTGTCGACGATAATTTGAACAAACAAGTTCGTTAAATTTAAAAATTTACAAACTGGAGCGATTTTAAAATGAAAAATGTAAGTTAGTACTTGTTTAGTTAATTCCAATGATTTGAAAGGTACTGGGCAAAAAAAAACTATCCATTACTATTACTATCTGATATTTTGAGTGATAATAGTCTACCCTACAAGGCCTTTTCAGACTGACCGATTCTCAATACAATCAGATAGAAACCAATACATATAAAAAACGCTGTAAAAATTTCCCTTCAATTTTAAGGCAGTAAAACAACGACCTTAAGTTAACATCAACCGAGGCCATATGTTTACAAGGGATGCAAAATCACAGTTACACAAAAGAACTGGTCAGAGTTTTCTGAAATCCCTTCAATTCTGATGTAAAATATGATGCCAAAAGACTGCAGATCTCCCATTTAGATGACCGGTCATATGACCGGCAGATGTCTCGTAGGATTCCCAGAGAGTTTTGCTTTACATAGAAATTTGTGCTCTTTTATTTTCATTTTGACTCACTTCAGTGTTGGTTCCTTTAATTCAAGTTAGCATTCGGTTTTTGGAATTTAAATAAGTTCTCAGCAAAAAAGTTTGTTTAAAAAAATACATATGTGTACATAATGCTTGAAAATATCAATTTTTCCCTTACCTTAAACCTTTGGGAGTGGGCAAAAATGATGTTTTGTAATTTGGGCAGAATATGCGCTATCTGGGAAGACAATATCTACATGTAATATTTATTCTGTTTGTTGGCACTATATCCAAACACAAACGCATCTTATGTGTCTTAACAGCATATATGTAATACTTCTATATTGGTAGTAAGCTAACATCTCAATGTGTAAGCATTCCGAAATCAAAGCGAGACAGTCTAGTACTGTTTTTGGCAATGTATTGTGTACTTGAGTGCCGTTTTTGTAAATGTGTCGTGTACATGTTTATTTATAAACGTATGTGTTCCTTTTCTTTCGTACGTGTTTATTGATATATCTGTACTGTTTGCGTTTGGCCTTTTCTGAAATACATTTGTGTTTTTCTGAAATACTGTTGGAAAAGGTGTAGATATTTTGTGTATGCGAAAGAGAGACGACTGTATGCTGCCAGATTTTTTATGTTCAAATTAAAATATATGTAAGGGATCCATTTATATAAATTTAAAAAACACTAACAAAAGATTTTTAAATAATCTTTTAACAAAAAATATGCCGAAACTATGCTTGATAGTTAAAATATGCGCTATAACTTTAAATATGCTATCACATCCAAAAATGGTAAAAATATGCAAAAATATGCTTTTTATGCAAATGCATATTTTTATCTTCTCTATTCATCTTCATCTTCATCTTCATCTTCATCTTCATCTTCATCTTCATCTTCATATTCATCTTCATCTTCATCTTCATCTTCATCTTTATCTTCATCTTCATCTTCACCGTCATCTTCATCCTCCTCCTGGTCTTCGTCTTCACCTTCTTCTTTATATTTATCTTTTCTTTTATCCTGATCTAAATATGTCCATTCTTTTCTTCATTTACATATTCACCCCCACCATTGTTATTAGGTTAGGTATTTAAATTTTCCTTCCTCTTTGTCTTTATATTTAGGTTTCTTTATTTTTATTTTAATTTCTGTATTTATCCCTTTCTCCTTCTCCTTACTCAACTTTACCTTCTTCCTTGTTTGAGTCTAATCTATTCATGTGCATACATACATACATCTTATTCCTAAACTGCTGCTTAGCACGTTTCTGTAATTCAGTATCAATATTAAAGCATACATTTAGGAGACATTTCCGCCCCAAGCATGTACAATACCGCTTTTATGAAAAAATACCCTTCAACATAGAGCAATGATGCAAAATCTAATTTAATGTACTTAAGAATTATTATTATTATAATGAAAGAAATAAATAGTTTTTTGTGTTATACTGAATTAAATGTTATTCATACGCACCTACAAAACGCAACTTGTCCGATCAATCCAAAATTTTGTACAGATCAGTTTCTTAGGTACTCAAATCAAATTAGGGGTTGGGAGCAGGAGATTTCTGACTTTTGAAATCGCTTCTATAGCTAAGGAACACCCTAATGTACATGTATGGTATTGATATTGGTGTGACTTTGAATTGATTTTTTTGCTCTATTTTAAACTACATAATTTGAAATTTTAAAGATTGCCTGCACATCAGCATCAAAATACTGTGGCGAATACTGCGGCAACACAAAGCGAACAACGAGAAATAGGCAGAATGTTCGAGGAATGACGTAGAATGTTCCACAAAGAGAAACGTCAAGTTGGATGAACACTGCGAACAGCGAGAGAAAGAGAATGAGCGATAAACTTCAGAACGTTCTAGAGTTGCCATAAGTGTGAGCGCAGGTATATAAGAGCCACGACACAGCGGAGTGGGGACAGTTACAAGTCAGCAAGCTACAAGTAAAGTGAGCGGAGAATCGAGTTGCGAATAAGCAAGCTATAAGTTTAATTGTGTTAACAAGTAGTAAAGCGTTGTTATTGCTTTAACAAGTATTGTAAAGTGTTTTTACTGTATTAGCAAGTATTGTAAATTGTTTGTTGTACAATAAAGTTAATTGTACTACAATTCGGTCATCGTTAGCATTTATTTAACAATCCAGCGATACGAGCCCGAGTATATTTGGGTAATCCCTCAAGGTTTCGAGGATAATCGTAACAATTGGTGTCAGAAGTGGGATTGTTAAATAAATAAAGGATAAACTACTGAAAATGACGAAAATTCAGGACTTAAAGATTGAGGAGCTGAAACAGGAGTTGGAAAAGCGTAATTTGGCCACCTCCGAAAGAAAAGTGGAATTATTATCCCGTTTGCGGGAGGCTATGGAAGCTGAAGGCATCGACGTGGACAAATACGACTTCCAGGGTAAATCCGACGATGCATCCGCAAAGGACGAACAGAAGGAAGAGGCTGCTTGTTCGTCGAAGGATGTGCAGCAGACATCCGGGAAGGTTGAAGAACAGCAAAAGTCTCCAAGTTCATCAACAGCTATGGACATGAACACGTTATTGGCTGCCATGTCACAGATGTCCTCTCAGATGCAAACACAGTTGTAAAATATTTCGTCGCAGCTACAGGCACAGAAGACACACGTATCACAGTTGCTGGAAGTCCAGGATGCAAAGATTACACAACTGCAGGAGAATTTGGCTAGAGATAACGAACAAATCAAGTATAGACAGGATAAAGTCGAGGCTAAGGTAGAAGAGTTGGAAGGTCGCCTCCGAGATATGCAGTTGAATCGCCCACCTTCTTCGACCAGCGCGCCCAAGGTAAAGACTACATCCTTTGATGGCACGATTCCTTTCCAAGTCTTTAAGCTCCAGTTTGAGAAGACAGCTACAGCAAATCACTGGAGCATGGAGGATAAATCCGCTGCACTGTTCGTTGCTTTAAAAGGACCTGCAGCGGAAATCTTGCAGACTATTCCTGATGGTGAAAGGAACAGTTACGATGCGTTAATGGGTGCAGTGGAAAGACGTTATGGTAGCGAGCACAGGAGACAGATTTACCAGATGGAGCTTTAAAATCGCTGCCAGAAATCCAACGAGACTCTACAGGAATTCGCCTCCGAGGTTGAAAGGTTGGCTCATTTGGCAATTGGAGATGCATCTGGTGAGCACCTCGAAAGAGTAAAAATCCAGAGGTTCATCAACGGAATGCGGGACGTGTATACCAAGCGCGAGACGTATGCAAATCCAAAGGCAACATTTGCTGAAACGGTCT